GTAGTGATGATAACGATGATAGCGTTGACAATAGTTAGAGCGTGAAAGAGTAAGAAAAATTTTAAATATTAAAATTATTGATGAGTTCACGATTTTTGTCCGACGATTGAAAGTGATAATTCTCATTCTCATATAAAAATTTCATTATCACATTATATGCATCTTTTATATATATATATATATATTGTAGAGATCATGATATCAATTTCATCTTTCACCTTTTCCTTTTCTTGACGCGTGTTATAAAAAAAATTATTACTTAAAAGTTGAAATTTCAAGCATTTTTTTTGTGTTATATAAAGGAACAAATTCAACTATAAATAGAATAAAATAGAGCAAGTCAATTACAGAGAACAAATAGAAAAATAGAGCAAGTAAATGACATTATCATTTACATATGGGAGTTTCACAAAATAGGGGAATGGAATGCAAACAATACCGCAATATTATATATGAGCAATGAACAATAGTGCAGTATTATTAGCAGAGAAAAAATGGAGAAGACAGAAGCATAGAAAAAAAATGAAAAACTCACTTGAAAATTCTTAAAACACTTGAAAAGTCACTTCAAACAATCTTTCAAAATTCGATGGGTTTGGATGAGATTGTTTTATAAATTTGGTATTTATAGATAATACTAGAAAGTCTTTCAAAATTCTTCTCACACAACAATCCTTTAAAATCCTTATATTTTTGAATACCAATGGATTATTTTTAAGTTGTAAAAAATCTCAAATGAATACCAATGAATTTTAATGGACTCTTTAAAAAATCTTGAAAATCCATATTGAATACCACTTTATTGTTTTTAAGTGACATACAATCTTCATTGAATACCAATGGACTTTTTTACTCAAAAAAAGTCTTTTAAAATCTTACGAAATCTTAAACCAATACACCCCCTTTAATGTAGATAAGAATGTAGATAGAGTATTTTTTTTAACCCTCTTTCTTCTACAATAATTATTTATATTAAACATTTAACAATTTTAAATATTTATTTTTCATAATAGTAATTAAAATATTATTCTGAAAAATATTATAAATACGGTTTTAAAATTTTATAATGTCATTATATTTTTCATTTTAGTTTTCTAGAAATATTGTGATAAAAATTCTAATGCATTAAATTTATCTAAAAACATTGTATTTAATTTATTTTAGAATATGACAACCAAAAATTTAGATTATTATTTTAAGAATAAGATAATAATAATAAAATTGAGAATATTGTATTAGAAATTTAGGATATTACAAGTATAATTAACTCAAAGGGGTAATTTGTGAAAGCTTAAATGTACTTTGAAGTTTATATTTATTTACGAAAACCTAGTTTAGGGACCAACAATTAATTTCCTTTTGATGTATATGCATGTAATGATCGCACACTGGTTTTGATTTCACACTCTAGTATTTTAATTGTTTTATTTATGGATTGTAATGCTATGAGCCATATTACTTATTTTATGGCTTATATTTACCTCTATTGTGTGGTTTAGATGAGACAAATAATGTTGAAAAATATTTTGGATAACATACAAATTACCTTTGTTTTTCTGTGAACAAACTAAATAACAAGTTTTCAGTAAAAACTTGAATTCTTTCTACATTGAATTAGTTTGATTTGTGACATGTATCATTAGTAAATCTTTATAGTGATTGCTAATTTGCAAAATTATTGTAGAGTACTTTCTTACATGTAATTAACTTAATAACTCTATTAAGATAGACTATCTGGTTGATCATGATGTGTGAATTGTTACCGAATTCAATTATTTTTCATGAAAAAAAAATAAACAGAAACCATCGACGGTTATTATAAAATGGAAAATAGATCAAATCTAACTAGTTCTTGCCCAACCAAATCAAACGTGACTGGTATTTACTGTTTGGGCTTATATTTGAGACTCTAAAGAACTCCGGTCCAGGCTCAATGTTTGCCAAAAGGGAAAAGATTCAGGCCCATCAACGCTGCCAAAATATAAACTATATAACATCTTTTATTATATTTATAGTATCAGTATAACTTTTTTCAGCAAATGATCTTTTCTTAAATGATTTCAAGAAGCCCAGAGCTCTTTTTTTTTTCTTTTTTTTTTTTTAATAAAACAGTTTAGTGTAAAAATATTTTAAAACTTTTTAATTTTTCTCTTATTTGAAGTCAAGTTTTTTATTGAAAAAATGTTGACAAATTCAATCCCATAACATATTTTTCTTAGGTATGTTTGAGTAAATTTCTTGGAGAGCAATTTAAAAAAAATAAATAAATAAAATTCTTCATAAGCTACAATTAATTTATGCATGAGTTAATTTGTAGAAATTCTCTCCTTTAACTTATCTAAAATCTTATTTATAACTTATGGAAAAGCATATTTAAGTTTTTCATATTTTTTCTCCTAGAAGAGTTTATGGAGAAATTTATCCAAACAAACCTTAATAGCATATCACAAACAAACCTTCATTAATAATGGCCAAAAAAGCTACATATTTTTCCTTTTCAGATCTAATAGTTTAATTTGTTCTGTAAAATCTCCTTTAATTTATCTAAAATCTAATTTATAACTTATGGAAAAGTTTACTTAAGTTTTTCTTAGTTTTATCTTCCTGAGGAGTTTCTAAAGAAATTTATCCAAACAAAAGCATGCCACAAACAAACCTCCATTAATGATGGCCAAAAAAGTTTCATATTTTTCTTTTTCAAATCTAGTAGTTTAATCTGTTCTGTAAAATTTCTTTTAGCTTTGTTTTTATAGTTTAAAGGGATATGAGTAAAACAAATACTGTCTCGATGAATACTGTGGTCCTAAAGTACCTAAATTTAACACTTGTGTCCACTCTAAAATTCCCTTCTACTATTAAGAAACAGGTGGTTTAGCTTCTTTTATTTTGTTCCTTTTCCTTCAAAGTTGAAATTTCAAAACATCCTTGGCCAACTTTCAGAATAATCAGTGATTCTAATGATAAGACAACAGAGAACTCATTATTCTGTTACATATATTTTCCCATGTACCCTAAAACAACATTGCACTAAACTTATTTTTTCTTTTGAGTAAATTTTCTAGTAGTGTAAGACTACGTGTGTTCAACAAAATGCTACATCATCTTATGAGTGTCAAACCAATAGCAGTGATTACAAGAGTTGATGGAAGACCAAATTTGAGATGGTTCCAGAAGGTTAGTGTGTATGCAATGTTAGGGGCACGGCGAGCTTGTTCACACACTATCAAGTTAGCAGCTGATCCCAACAGTGAGAGGTTCCCTGCAACTGTGCTGGCCCAAGCCAATATGAGCCATGCTTTCTTCTCATAATCTGGGGAAATTGCAGCAGCTGAGGCTGCAACTGGTCCTCCAAGCAATAGAACTAGCAAATATAAAAACAATTTGTAAAGGGTATATCAAATCAACGTGACAATGAATCTGTTTGAATACAAGTTTAGAAACGTTTCTGAGAGTTTCTTCATGAAAAAATGAAAAACCTTTTATTTTTAATAGATAAGTTTTCAAAAACTTCTAAACTGTTATAAGCAAACAGATTAAATATATATCAACTTAAAAAAGGTTTTGATAGATTGAGAAAAGAAGTTAAAGACATGAAGTTTCATTATGACTAATTCTATAATGTATATGGACTTTACCAATTTTGTGAAGTTTTCAATTTTTCAAGAAAAATGAAAGTTGTTTCAGTTTACATAAATATTTTATGTACCAGATTAATTGTGTTGAGCACATTTACATAATTATGGTTCCAATTCCATTATGCCCAATGAAATGTGTTCTTTCTTAAAACTTTGGGAGGAATATAAGTTTAACACATATCTTTGTATGAAGCTCTATGTTTTGATTCTAAAAGTTCAAAAACTATACAAAGCTGCACCTTTGCTGGAAACCTGCAGTTCAAGGTTCTTTGCAATTATACTTGTCCTCTATATAAGATAGTACCTTAAATTTTGAGGATCGTTTCTTCCATTATCTGTTTGTTTTGAAGCAAAGAAACCATAAGTTATTTATAAGTTGAGTGGAAATGGCATTTGTATATAATACTTTGGTTGAGTGTTAATTTCTGCTAAATTATTATAAAAGTGTTTCCTTTGCCTGTATTTTTATGCTCTGCAATCCTCATTTTAAGAGGACTATACTGTAAGTTCCTATTTTTTTCTTTTTCCTCCCCTTTTCACTAGTGAAAAATACATGAACCTAAAAGCAAAGTCAAAATGTAAAAGTAAAACTTCTTTCTCTGGAATATTGAAAGGCCTAAGCCTCAAATTGATCTAGAAATAATACATTCCACCAATTGTGTGTTGAAAATCATATAAAACATAAGCTGTTATGTGTACAATGTCTAAGCCACCCCTTGACTTTTAAAAGCCTTAATGAAGATTGAAGAGAGTAAAGGGAATTAATCATTTCTGCAAACAAGTCAATCATGCAAGTTCCTGTATTTCTTGGATAGCAATGAAATTGTCAATAAAGAGCATTTAATGGAGAAAGCAGACTTTATAAATCAGGTTCCTTCTCTAACATGATGCATTCAATATTTTGAAAAATCAAATGACATGTAGAACAAAACAATTAAAATAAAAAAGAGTAACAAATAAATTGGTGATGAGAATATTTGGGTAGGATAATCACAACATACCAGTTGGTACATTTGAAGCAACATTTGATAGGATGAGTATAACTAGAGCAAGTATTGCTATTCCACTAGCACTATTTACTCTAGAATAAGGCTCCATGACATCCCAAAGAGCACCAGGAATCCCAGTTTTATTGAAGCCATCTACTGTGATGAACATTCCACAAAAGAATATCAAAAGTAGCGAGTGCAAGTAGCAAAGGGTGTGGTGGTAGATTATGCTGCTTTGCAATTTTCAAAATGAACTCTGTCAAAACAACACAGGCAGTGTCATTAGTGAATAGTGCACTTGAGACAGCAGAAATGAGACAGATTCTGCAAAGCAAGTCTTTGGTTCCTTTTCTCTTCCAAGAGAGTAATTTTCCAATGTATTTGAACATGTCCGCTCTTTCAAGGTAGACACTGACAACCATTGTGCCGAAAAGAAGGCTGAGAATGGGAAGATCGATCGCTTCATAGGCTTGATCCGGAGTAAGAACTCGGAATATGACCATGAGCATTGCACCAAGCAGGGAACCTGCAGTTCTCCCCAATGGGGAGTAAAGGCACAGCAGGGAAAACTGCTAACACCCAGAAGATTGCAAATGCAACTGAACCAAGGACAAGTTTTGGAACTGGAGCTAGAGCCATTCTTGTGACTACAACAGCAACAACAATAATCAGTTCCTAACTTCCAATGTTGAAAACTCCACCTCTAGGCCATTAACAATGACATAGTAGAATTGAGTCTGGTAGAATGAAATTTCCTGAACATGAAAAAGCCAATTATTTAATTAGTATGAATGCATGGAAATCCAACCTTGTGAGATTCCCTCCATGAAAATCCAATCAACTACTATATGACTGTAATAACTAACGCGAATCACTTATGTCAATGAAGGTTAATGATCACTTACGTCAAACAAGTGGAGCAGATATTTGGCTTTAATGGTGATATACTATCTTTGTAAAAAGTTATACACAATCAATTAATATTATGATTTGTATGACTTTTGAAATAATTATTGTAAAAGTAAAAAAATTTAATCATTTATGATGGATTGTGATCAAATATTGCAGTGCATCACCATTAAACTCGAGGAGTATATGGTCATGGTTAAAAACCCATTGGTTACACTTTTTGTTGGAACATATTTCATGAAAGGATGCAGCCTTCCATACCATGAATATACAGTTACACTTTCATGAAAACATACAACCTTTGATACCATGAATATGCATATACTTTCAAAAAAACATACAAACTTCCATGTTTGCGAGTGTTCATGTACAAACGCGTACTCCCATTAAAAAATTCAACATTTTATTAATTTGAATATCTTGCACTTTTCACGAAAACCCTTCGAACCAAATTTAATCTCACACTTTAATCTCAATTACCTTAAAAAGAAACAATCGTTCACGCGTTGAGTTCTAATATATGGTAGCTTTCATCTATTTTCTGTCCCTGAATTGGAGTTCATGCCATCTGCATGAAATTTGCTATAAACTTTTAGAAATTAAAGTATTTTTTTTATTTTGTAAAACAGAGAATTTAACCAAATTCAATTCCTTAAATAATAAAATTAAGGATATATATATATATATATATATATATACATACTAATTAAATTAATTTTAAATTAACAAATATTTTAAGTTACAATTAATAATATTACAT